AAACTTATGGTGGGTGGTAGAACCAGACTCCGCCCACAGGGGCGGGGTTTGTACGAAAATTCATTACTCCTGACCCCACGGAACTAGAAAGTTCATGCTTGGTAGGAGTACAGGCGCCATGGTAGCAAAACTTACGGTGGGTGGCAGAACCAGACTCCGCCCACAGGAGGCGATGTTTGAGCGGAAACTCATGAACCCGATAAAGGTTTATAATGAAAATCAGCTCATGCGGCTCCGTCCCTCATGGTTAGAGCCCCTAGCGCGCGCGAGAGCGTGCGTAGCCGCCTGGTTTACAATAAAGCCTTAGGACGATAGTACTCATATGGTTGAGACACCCAGACGGTTACAGACACAATATCTCAAACAACCCCTTCATCTCACTTTTTTGAAGCCTTCTATTCTTAATTCGAATATCGTTAGTTTTTTGTTTAAGAATAGTTTCTTAAGAAATAGAGCATTAGAAAATATTGGATGTACAGGCTGCAGTATGGGAACACTTACGATGGGTAACAGGACTGGCCCATCGCTCACAGGGCGGGTTTGGGCGAAAATTTGAACGTAAACGGAAATTCATTACTACCGTTTCTCATGATCTAGAGGTCCAAATTTGGTTGGAGTAGAGGCGACAGGATGAGAAAGTTGATGCTAAGTACTAAGGCAGCCTCCCTCCCCCCCGCAATGGGCTTGGCGTGGGCGAAAGTTGTTAATTCGAACCTCGAGCGTTCAAGTTCAGTGGTCGATTAAGCGAGAAGTTGGAGACACTGATGAAAGTGGTAGGACAGGGGTCCGCCCTCAGGAAGCGATTCGTGAAGGATAAATCTTAACTTTCACTTGGAGCGTTTAAATTTTGTTTGAGTACAGGATGGGAACACTTATGGCTGGAAAGGACAGGAATCCGTCTAAAGGAGCGGGTTTTGTGCTAGGCTTAGGCGGCAGGACGGGAACGATTACGACACCTGTCAAGACCGGTTCCCGCCCAACGCTTCCCGTTTTTGCGCATGCCACGCCCAACGGGGGCGGGGCATGCGCAAAAACGTGCATTTAAAGGCACCTATCACAAAAAAGTTAGGGTACCCTTTTCTGACGGGAATTGATAGAACTACTCTAGAATAAAGCGATAACAACGAAAAAAGTGCAAAAAACGATGAACAAAAAGAATTAAAAAGGGCCAAAAAAAGAGCTGGAAAGGGGGTTGGACGTGTTTCACAGTGAAAGGACGTCGGTTAGAGAGTGTTCGGGCAAGTTGGCAAATTGCCAGGGACGGCAAATTGGCAACTTGCCAGAGATGCAATGTGTTGTCTGCAATAGCATGCAACACATTGCGTCCCTGGCAATTTGCCAATTTGCAATTCAGGGTGGGTCCTGGCGCGATTACATGACACTGCGTCGTCTCGACACTCGTCTAACGTGACACCGATCAAGGGGCGGAGGGCGACCGTGGATACCTCTCCGGCCCTTTATTGTGCCCTATCCAACCGTTTTCCGACCTCATTCCTGCACAAATGGTTTCAGAGGGGGCTTCGAATTCAAACCATGTGCAAATCTCGGAAACCACTTTTTCGTAAACAGTGCCTTTGAGGGATAGTTCATTAATCCAGTATTGTGTGATTTAGTATGCTCAAATTTGAGCACAAAAGTTATCAATCTAAACGTAGAGCGTTCAAACTTAGTAGAGATGCAGTCTGCGGAGTCTGCAGTATGGGGACGCTGATGACAGGTGAGAGGAAATGTCTAATCAGAACTCCACCGAGGATGGGAGATGGAGCAGGAGAGCGGAACTTCTGGGATATGGGCGCAATCTTAGCAAAAATACGAAGTTAAGTTGGGATAATCGGGGATTGAACCGGGTTACTTATACAAACAGGGCTAAGAAGGAAACCGCTCATGACGAGAGAAGCGCATACGAAGTGTAGTGGGGTGCGTAGGTGTTCGGCCAGAAACTAGTCGCTCCTTATCTGGACCAGAGCAACCAAACACAATGGTGGTTTAGCAGGGGCCAACTTTAACACGAAAAGGAGGAGAGTCCGGCGTGAGCCGGGCGATCCAACTGGTATAAAGATAAGACGGAAGCAACATAATGCCAAAAGGCGTACTGCGGTTACACAAGACCTAAATTTTCTGATTCTGTTGTCGGGAGCATTTGGGAGAAATATAGAATTTTCATATACACAAAATGTACAATCGCATATCTATAAGGTAATCGCTGTCATAATTTCTTCACGGGTTTGCGTGGATTCGGTGATGTGACGGTGTAGTCGTTGAACTTCAGGTCGAAGTCACCTCGATACCAAGAAGACAGCAAGCCCATGAACTCTGAAATGTCACACAGAAATTCAGGTTTTCAAGTCTAATGATCATAACACCTCAACCAAATTCATTAGCTAACCAGCTGCAATCCCGTAGTCTTTACAGTGCAATACATGGCACAGGACAGGTCTTCGTGATGTTACCGCACATACTAAGAGCATTTGCTGACGAACTTCTGGACCCCGCTTTCTATTCTATGCTTGCGTCAAGCGAGAGAGTTTGAGCACTGTCCACCGTGCGATGGTGTTGTTAAGTATTAGCCGGTACGCTGGTTTCCTTCTGCTCACAATCAGTCAACTCTCGGCTGTCTCTTCATGTTGATCTTTCGACCATGATACGAGTACCTGAAGCCTGATAAAATTCCTTTCCATAGGCATTACGAGCTTTCCTTTTATTATGAACATCAAACTCGTTAGGCTTGCAATTAGATGCTAGTGGATCTTTTCACAAATACTGTCAAATTCAGACAGCATTCGCTTCGTCTGCTGGACATTTCGTGTCATAATGACGTCGATGTCGTCTGCAAGACGAGCTGGTACGACTATCTACCGTGGTTTCTGACCCCATATGAAGAAAAATGAGTCCCAGACAAGTGAATTTGGGGACTCGCTTCTCAAATTATGCAATTTATGTTGAAACTTAAGTTAAGATAAGGATGGTTTCCATTCCTCGATCAGGTGGTTTTTGATAAACCTGTATGTTTAATTGCTCTGTACTGACTCTCAACATGGTCCTCGCGATAGAGCTAAAAACCAAACTCACCAGCCTTATCCAACTGTCCGTCACCATCCAAATCTTTTGCTTCGAAAAGTCTTTTCCAGTTTTCATCAGCTTGCACCTTCAAAACGTTTTCCGCGTAATCCACGCCTTCGCCGTAGCTGATGAAGTCGTCATTGTTGTTGTCTGCTTCCTGAAACAAACTGCTAAATTCCAAGTCAAGAGTTTAGATCTGACCTTTTAGGCCTTGTTCGAATTTTTTGGATTTCTTCTAAATTCATTTTAACCCGGATCGGAAAGAACTAGCTATATAGTCAAGAAAAAAATTTCAGAAAGACCGTGATCGAGGATTGATGTCAATAGGACGGGAAGAGAGACGTCTTCAAATAAATAGAAAAAAACGGAATTATATCTAAAATAAACGTGAATACAAAACAAGAAGGGACACGCAGAATCGTGGAAGGGAAGGACTTGCGTAAAACGAAAAGGGCAAAACTGAGGGATCGTTGAAAGTGGTTTAACGCCGAATCCTACCACCAAAGTTGTTGCCTCTGGAACCAAGATTTCTAGGTTTACATAGAGCGCAATAAGGGGTCGAAGATTGTTCTCTGAGATGCCTAACACAAAAGTGGCCACGTTTTAACGGCCTCGTAGATGCCGCACAATACACAATTTAGCACAAATGTTGGGAACTTACATCAGACGGCTGAGCGTCTGGGGCTCTGACTCGGGCGGTAATTGAAAAGGATTCTTTTCAGTAAACATACTGAAGCCAGCTACTTACGCAATTGGACTTGGCGGAATTTTGTTCCATCCCCCATTCCTCGCCACAACACCACATTAGCTAGTTTCAGAAGGTCTTATATTTTCAGACGTACCTCTCTGAGGCATCCTTGCTGACTATCCGTAGTCCACTCAGCTCTAACCAGAGTTTGGCAGGCCACGCATGAGTACCCATATTCCAAAAAACAGTAGCACGGGCACCAAGTTATGAAGAAGAGGAGCTAGAGGCGTTCTACATGGGCTTGGAGAAGCATTTTGAAGAGGACTACCTTTAAAGTCACCGTCAGTGATTTCTACACCAAGATTGATTGCAGAAGGACAACTGAAGAGCTAATTTGGGACAGGGACAGTTCCATGCCCCTGACGAGAGTCGGAGACTCTCCGAAAGCAGGGTATGCATGCAGTCATTCAATGCACTGTGGAAAGAGCGAATTGTATTTTCCATATACCCACTTGCAGATGGGAATCGGAGTTCCAAGCTTCGCCAACGAACGAGTACCGGGGATGCCCTTGCTTACGCCACCGAAGCCCTTGCTGACCGAAGATCAAATGGGTTCAACATGTTACACGAGGTTGTGATGACGGTGGACCAGGGCGGCTACTTACGGAATCCCTTGGGAGGTTACTAGCATTGGGATACACCAATGCAGTGGTCGGACTGCTTATAAAAAGCTCTGAACGGAAGAGGCTAAGCCTCGTGTTCCTCGAGCGAGGACGATCCAGTGGACTACTTCGACTCGCGACTTATTGTTTGACGCCGACGATACTGGCACCAGCTCGAGAAAGCCGATAATCAATGGAACTACAGGGGATACAGGTGAAAAATCGATGGTCCTGCAGATTTTCCGGCTTGTTTCGCAATCGATTCACTACTCTAGACTAACACGTCCATTAACCTTCTTAAAATGAGTACCTAAGGATTGTCGTGTATACATTTTCTTTATCAGTTATCTCTGACTGGCCCTGAACTTGAGAGATAAACTCGCTGGTGCAGTGTAAACGCAGTACAGGCATGAGGATGCGACACGAGCGCCAAGCAGGAGTTCATGACAAGGTAATC